CGACTTAATGATTACCAATTTTTCAAAAAACTATTTTTTTTAAAAATCACATTGCCGATAAAAAGAAAAGATTTAGAACTGAAGTCTTGGTCCTTAGTAAAAAGACTGTTTAATGATAAAAATATGCAATATTTTAAACAAGAACTAAGTTGTATAAATTGTCATTCTATTATTGAGAAAAAGAAAGATGTTAACTTAAACTTTATTAACTTTGCTGATACCATACAAAATTTAATAAACAAATGCTGCCTGGTCCGCGTGGATTTGTTTCTAGTAATCTTTTCTTTAGATTTAAACATCTAGCAGTTAAATGCTTAAAAATAAATAAAAACATAACAAATGCATTCCCAAAAAAACTGTAAGAATAAATCATAAAATACGCAAAAAATGGTTAACTCCTGGTATATAAAAGTTTCATGTTACAATAAACGCTTACTTAAAATGCTCATATCTAAAACAAAAATCATATATTACATAAATACTATAAAAAATATAAAAAACTTTTTAAAATAACTATAATAAAATCGATAAAATTACAATACGTTAAAAAAATTAAAAAATCAGATAACAAAACCAAGACAATGTGGCAAATAGTAAAAGAAAAACAAATAAACACTTCATACCAGTAACTCTAATTAAAGCTTAACGTTGACAATAGTTTGGTGAAAGATCCGGTACAATGGCAATCCATTGTCTTTAAAAAATGAGAGTTTTAGTTTAAAAACAAATTGAAAAAGCTCCTTTGTTCTAAGGGCTACTATACACTGCAAGAGTATTTTAATGACAAGGAATTAAAATGATGATTGTAAGTCATTTAATGTGATATAATTTATTTAATAATATAATGTTTTTGTTTCTTAGGTTTTCACGCACATCACTCATTAAATAAAACTAGTTTTTCACGGGTTAATGCACGAAACTTTATTTATTGACGCAGATATGAAACATAGGCGCGAAAATAAGTCTGCAGTGTGTGAACATGCATTAGGGGGACCAAACCATTACATTAGATTTGACAAACCACAGATCCTTGCAAATCAGCAACGAATCATTCCTAGAATGATACGCGAAGCTATTGAGATTAAAAAACATCCAAATTTCAATAGGAAAGATGGTTGGTATATACCACCAGCTTGGGGACCCATTATACAGGAGATAAAATCCCAACCCCGGACACATACTGCAAGACCAACAGATAGTATTAGTTCTTTTTGTTTGCATAATTTAACATAAGAAGCAGATAGAAAGCCTCTCTTGAGTTTGTTTCGCCGGTTCTTCTCAGAAAGGTCTCCCAATTTTGGAACCGGCGGTAGTTTACGGTAGTTAGGGTCAAATAAATAAATTCAAAGTTACAAAAAAGATTTTTAAATGAAGTACTTTATTAACTAAATTAAGTAATAAATTCATACATAGACAATAAAACTTTAAAAATCGAACAATGAAATAACCGAACGCTCAATAAAAGTCTTTCGAAGGTAGCTCGACAAAATAAAATAAAAATTTGAATTGATTCCGACGACGCAGCCTGTAAAGGCTGCGAAACGTCAATAAATAAATAAAGTTTCGTGCATTAACCCGTGAAAAACTAGTTTTATTTAATATAATGTTTAATTTATTTAATGCAATAATGACATGGAATTTTATTAATAAATAAGATTTTTATTTTTTGATGTGATTTAAATTTATATTTATTTATAAAAAAATAAACAAGCTCTTTAAAGCACATTGCGATGCCCTAACCAGGTTAGTGTAAGGATCTCAATGAACGCTTTGTAACACCTCTGTACACCTACATGAAAAAGCAATAAATAATATTATTGTTATTACTATTATAAATATTGTTATAGATTCGGATATATAGATCATAAAATAATAGTAGATTGTTTAGTAAGGGAGGAAAGCACTATTTTAAGGTCGAGATAAAAATAATATCTTTGTTTTTAATATTTTGTCTCAATGTGGCAATTTAATATCAAAGCGTCAGAACCAACAAAGTTACAGATGCTTGGTGACGCCGTAGTTGACCACAGAGCCATTCTAGCAATAAATGGTTTAGTGCAGATTATCACAAGTAAAATCTATGTATTTCTTCTATCTTATATATTCATAGAATCACAAGCTCGTATCTCGTATCGTATCGACTTAATTATTATTACCTATATTCACACGAACCGAATATCATACTAATTAACCACATCTCGGGTGAGACACATGATCTCTATTTTCATTAAGAGCAGACTTCCCTTCCTCCTTAGCCTTAGCAGACAAAACTGCGTCGAAAATTACAAACAGGTGTAGGTACCCCTGTTTGTAATTTTCGTGCAAGTGGTATCCGTTAATTAAAGTCGATCTTAATTGCTCCAATAAAGTTTGTCAACATTAACTTCAATCTAATTAATTTTGTCTTGGAAACTGGTTCCACAGATTCTTAAAACTTTTAAAGTGAAAAATTCTTTAGCGGCGTTGTACATTTTTTTGTAATGGGTAAAAAATGTTAAACTCGCGTCAGGACACGTGGCCTGATCGAAAATTCGTAAGACGAAAACAATAAAATTGGAAAGGTTGTTGACTTTCAATATATTGGACGAAACATAGTAATATTTTATTTTATCGTATTATAATAATAATATATTTAAGGACGTCCGGGCGGCAGCTTTGTGCATTGCTTTGTGTTATGTGTATTTAATGTAAAAAAATGCATTTTTTTACATTAAATACACATAACACTTATACTTAAATATTAAGCCATTATTTTTTATACACCAACGATAACACTTATACCTAAATGTTAAGCCATTATTTTTTGCTGATATAAATTATTAAGAGAAATATCTCTATTATATATTAATATATGAACCGATGTTCATATAATTATACGACTGTTCAAATTTCGTAGATTTAGATAAGTTACGGATCTGCGATAACGATGAGTCATTTTCGCCGAAGCAATTATTTTTCTTAGTTCATATCTTGAAAATCACTGAACCGATTTTAATAAAATCCAACAATTTCCCAGGTTTCAACATACTTTATCTATTAATTCCCGAACAGCTTAGAGATGAAATACAAGACTATCCTAGCAACCCGTCGTACTCTGAAATTTAGTCTAATTGAGCACTAATATTGAAAGTTAATAGATTTGCTTGTTCGATTTTGGTATTTACACAAAATGGAAATTAACGATTACCAAAACCATAATGTACGTATAAGGTGGCCTTACATACTTTGTGGTATGGATGGTACCTGGGGTAGATTTTGCACAGTTGACTACAAATGGGCACTAAAAGGGATTTTTAGAAATTTATTCCTAAAGCGCTTACAAGTTGCCGATTTTGGTTATTTTTTTATATTGTAAAAGTTTATAAATTTTTGACGAATTTTGACAAATATCCATTTTGTATTTATTTAGTAATAGTAAAAAATGAACGGTTCTAATTGATATGTCGTATCCTCTAAGTTCCGATGGAGTTGTTTACCACACGAACGAAGTTATCACACCGACCAAAGGTACTATTTGATAAGAAATCAATTCGATATAACTTTTAATGAGTTTAGTAAGACCCCAGGAAGGACCTGGGTTCCTTTTTTAACTAACTTCGAAAAAGCAGGATCACAGTTCGGCTGATTTGTTTTGTTACGAAGTGTTTCGACCAAATTCTGCACGGTAAAGACAAAGGCAAAAAGGCCGAATGTTATTATGCTGGTGGCTTAAAACCAGGGAACTATTTCACAAAAGAGATGCACGCTATAGTTTAAGTTTAATCAATTTAATGATCAACTAACTGCGCTGTTGGTTCTATAGCGATTGGTTTAGTTCCTGCCACAACTTTACACAATTATAATGAGTTTACCCCTGTCTCTTGTTAATTAGTTAGTTAATGGTTAAATTATGTTTTGGAATTTATTTTAGACTGTTCGAGTGATCTTCCGGAAATACTGTTAATCTGTGCGAAAGCTGTTATTTAATTAATTCCAACCAGACTCAGACTTTTTACAAATTAAAAGACAGCATCGTATTAAGCACAATGTAATGCTTTGTCGCTAGGATATTACTACTGTTCCATTATAATTATATTATTGGGAAATATTATAAAGGGAACTTAACGTATCCGAAAGTTGATATTATGCTATTTTTGTATTGCAAATATTTTTAAAGCAAAATACATTATAGGTATAACATAAAATTTGTCAATACATTTAGTTAATTTTATTCATTTAACACATACAACGGAACACAATCTGTAAGAATAAATATATAGCTTGCAGAGGCCATACTATGAACTCTTAATCGGGAGGCAAAAACAAAAAATAAAACCGACTTCAAAACCCAAAAAAGTAACAAAATGTAAAAAAATTGTAGGTGATTCATGATTTGGAAGTCCGGCGGGGTCAAGATTGAAACGCGTAGGTATGATTAGAAATGAAAGTCTATTCCATGTTTCAATCTTGGCCCCGCGCGACTTCCAAATCATGAACCACTTATAATTATAAACATTGTAGTTTCATTTTCAATTTTGAAGTCGGTTTTATTTTATGTTTAAAAAAATATTCATCCATTTCAGTGAAAACCACGTTGTCCAAGTAAACAATAAACAAAAATGGTCATAAAATTAACTGCTGAACCAAACTGGATTAAATTTTTATTGAACTAAACGGCAACAATTGCGCATCAGAGATCAGAAATGCCGGAGTAATCTGAGTCCATACACAAGAAAATAAACATACCGACTGAATTGAGAACCTTCTTCTTTTTGAAGTCGGTTAAAAACAACGGTTGAAGCGAAATAGCTTTATACTGACATAGGTGTCTCGCTCTAACAATAGAACTTGACTGGCGTTCAAGATCATAGTAAGATCTCAGTTCTCATATCCAAAAAATATGCCTTGTGGCTAAAATAAAATGTGTTGACGCCACTTAAAATAATTTGTGAAGCGAAGTTCTTTGATGCGTTTTGTATAAAAATACGGGTGTTCTCACATTAGAAAATTTGTTATTTCAGATTTACCTGTGTGGTATTTCGACGGAAGCAACACAGGCCAGGCAACAGCTGACAACTGTGATACATTTATTTTCCCTGAAGCCATATACCACGATCCTTTCCGTCGTGGAAATCACATATTGGTACTGGCTGATACCTACCAATACAATTATCAGCCGACATGTAAGTAATGATTATAGTTTAAAAGCTGCCATTAGGTAATGCTCACTTTACCGACTAACGATATTCCTTTGATGAGTAGCTTATACACTATAATTTCCGGCTTGCGCAATGTAGGAAAATTAACTTTTCTATATTGATACGGATCTGAGTGTTAATTGATGGGTAATACCTTCGTTGTTTCGATTTACCTTACATGTGATTCACCTACTAAAAGAAATCAAAGGTTTATTTACATTATTGCAGTCGTCTGTATACAATTTTAGAGATGGAGGCAAACTACTTAGTGTACTAGACACTTCTATCAGGTGGGATCGCTTTTCCTTAACAAAATCATACTTAATTTAGACTGAAGCAGTTCAAGAATGGTCGGGAAGGGCGTTAGGACGGTCATTAGTTTTCCTCGCTACGTGACCCGCCCATTATCACTAGCACTTGAGCGATATCATTTACTTAAGTTCTCCTGTGGATTTGTTCATTCTATTGCGCAGGGAAATGTCGAGGATCGCTCTCGCCGTTGCTTGCTGTGTGACCCCGAGACTTCTTTAGAGACTCAGTAAAATTTAGTGGAAGGGTGGTGTATTGCTTCCGTAGGTCATTATTGGCAATGCACACTGGTGGTCATCATTGGCAATGCATACTGGTCAAATATTGCTATCAATGACTGCATTGAAGTCCAAAAAGATTTAGATAATTTAACTAACTTTTATAAACTCAATAAAATAAACATTAATATAAAAAAATGTCAGTGCGTGCATTTTACACGCAAGTTAAAACCTATTATATATCCATATTCATTTGATGGTTTGTTAATTAATAAATCGTCTGAAATTCGTGATTTAGGTGTGCAACTAGACGAAAAAATGTTGTTTTCTAATCACATTGGCTCTGTAACTAATAAGGCTTTTAAAAACTTAGGCTTTGTCTTACGCTCATGCAAACCATTTAATAACTTATTCACATTCAAGTCAGTTTATTTTGCTTATGTCCGTAGTGTACTTGAATATGCTAGTGCAGTATGGTCGCCTCAATATATTATTTATATAAATCGTCTAGAAAAAATCCAAAAAAAGTTCATTAAACATCTGAACTATCGCTTCCGTAAGCCTTTTGACTCGTGTCAAGATGCGTGTCAAAATTATAATATTCTTAATCTCAAGGACCGTCGCAATCTGCTAGATATGAGTCTCCTGTATGACATTGTTAACGGACAGATAGACTGTATTGATCTTGTTGAGAGTATTAAGTATCGTACGCCTAAACGTCGTACACGACACACACCTTTACTTTACGTTCCTCCATGTTCCACAAACTATGCTAGAAACAGCCCATTGGCACGACTTCCTATGACTTATAACATCCACTTTAGTGAATATGATATTTTTTTACTATCTAAGACAACTTTTAAGAGGGCAATAACTTCCGAATTGATGCCTATCTGTTGCACTGTGATAACTAGTGACCAAATTTTAGTTCCGTTTCTGGTTCTGTTTGTGCCCACGCCTGGTTGGGGGACCCGTTGGTTGGCGGTTGTCGGCTGGTGAGAGATCAATTATAATTATATTGTAAATGTGTGTTTGGTTTCTCATCGCCCGGCCCTGGTCGCTTGATGGGTTCTTGCAATCTGTCGTTGTTATTACTATGGATTAATGATGGAAACCTTGCTGCTGTTTTGCTTATTGTTTTATACATTGTCTCTGTTAAACTAAAGGACTTGGCGATGCTGATGTTTTTGTGCAGTTGTTGTTTTGTTTAATATCACACTTATTATTGATTATAAAAGGAAACCTGTAATTGGTCTTACCGTAATTTATATTAGTTATAGAAGTACTATTTGTAACACTGTTGGTTTTCTCTTAATAAATAAATAAATAAAATCATGGGACGCTGAGGTAAATAGCACGCAAATATTCAACGTATTTTTTGTAAATGCTGCCTATTAGATCTAGTTTCGACGTGAAATCTTGTTTTCGAAGTTTGACTTACCTAATTGAACTATTTGCCCCATCTTATATATGTAGTGGTCAACAACTTCAAGTGCAATGTTTCCAATTTTAACTGGAACGGTTACGTACCATCCGCACCACACACAAATAAAAAAAACGATTGGTGGCTTTATGCTACAACTGGGTCAGACTATTTCGCTCAATCTGCCGATGAAAAGCGAGACTGGATACGGGAATTAAAGTAATGACTATAAAAGTCTCCCTTACTTTTGGATGACAATGATTTCACCAGAGACAGCGCTGGTGGTTTCACGGGTGCTTAGTACCGCAGTCCAGGGTGATGATGGAGCCGCACGGAAGACCGCGGGACGCGACAATGGGCTGCGACGCGTTAATAATACAGACAGTGAACGAACACCTTTTGACTTGAGTAACCGCTACGCCGACGATTTTGCGACTGAGGGATTCGCGCCTCCGTTCAATCGTATGAGTTAGCGGGCGGTGGATGTAGAAAGTTATTTTCACAATTGCCCGCTACTCACGTCTTATATGGTAGGAAGTGCTTAGCAACCCTCATCCGGACCAGGGCACTGTATGGGTCCTCGGAATTATGTATGTCTTATTCATGTTTATCTTAAGCCTCGATAATACGGGGCGAGTTTACAAGCTACAAGCCAGCGAGTTCGCTAGTAGCTTGTAAACTAGCCCCGTATCATCGAGTAGCAGATGGTAGAAAAGCCAATCACATGGGGCGAGTTTACAAGCCGCTAGCAAACTCGCCCCGTGTAATCGAGGCTTTACGATCTAGTCTTTGGAAAGCACTACTAAGATCTTCGAGAATAGTGTTCGGACCCTCCAAGGTCGCAGCCAAATGATTAAATCACCATCATCATCATCATCGAAACGAAGGTATGTGGGTACTCGACATTTATTTTCACTAAGTAATGTTAAAATCTCTTTTTCTTGTAATCAGATTAATATAACTAAACATCTATGCCCCAAATATAATATCAATAAGGCACCGTTCCAATTCAGCAAAAAATACGTCTTTCAAAATAGATACTGCCCCCAGCGCGGCATGTAATGGCTTTACTTTACCGATCTATTTATCTACACCATATCATTTCATCATTTCCAGAAACCATAATTAAGCTCTCTTCATAAAATCTTAGAGAAATAGCATGTGCCGAATTCCTCTTTTCATATTCTTCCATTTCAGATAGGGATTTATTTAATAATATGCTTATCAATAATTTTATATTTAAGACATGAAACGCTGATTACACTAATCGTATCAACTGGTATATATTTATTACTAATAAGAGGTCCATTTGACTCTTAAGCCGAAGTTTTATACAAAAGAAGTCGGTAATTTGATGGCTTAGTAAGGCTATTATTTTCCCCAGATAAATATTTTGTGAGTTCTAAGAGAGCCTTCTTCATAGGGCGTTTAGGATTGGCACAATAAGATATGTTGACTTACGGACTTACTCCAGGAAATTGAATATCTCAGTTAATTACCAGATATGAGCTTGAAAGAAAGACTAAATTATATTTCTTTACAATATTGCTTCGAAGAAGCTGTTTAGTCCATTGTTTATGGCTTTCATTTAAACATAGCTTACTTAAATTTTAACCCCCTTATTAATAAACGAAGAATAAGCTTGGATTAGTAACTCCATGTTTTGTCTTTGTTAATTGAATGACAAATGGCATATGAGTGTCATGAACAAAAAGCGATAAGTTACGCTTTTTGTTCATGACTCTCATATGCCTTAGCTTATGTCTTGTTTATTAATAAGTGGTTAAGGGTCTTACTGCAAAAAAGTTAGTTAGACACGGTTTAAAACGTTGTTTAGGCAAATTTTGTGTAACAATTTTTCTCAAACTCATGTTGAACGCATGTCTTTTTTGTGGTAATAAGGTAATCATACTACTTACCTACTTTTAAATGTCACTCAAAATTATTGTAATGAGTTAATCGCTGTTTGGTAAATCACGATTGTGACATTTTTTTTTATTTAAAGTTGTATAACCTATTGGGTAGTTGTTAACAATTAACCGAATAATTTGCCAGTGTCCTTCTGTAACTTTAAAATCAAATGTTAATATTATTGATGTGACTGACTGCAATGGTTTTAGCAAGAAATATTTGTACATACTTTCTCTTGCTCTGCTTGTTACTTGTATTATCTTATTGTTTGTGTATATATCTATATATTACTTTATAAGGTCGTTTTTCATTATCCCCACTCAATCGAAACCCTTATTTTCCGGTTGTAACCTCTACCGTATTCTCTTTCAGCCACAAATTACCGCAAGACCTGCGTAATGCTTTGTGAGAAGGGCGAGGTAGAAGAGCCTTGGTTCGGCTTCAACCAAGAGTTCTTCCTTACTACCACAGACGGGCGACCCCTGGGTTGGCCTCCTGGTGGATTCCCAGCACCTCCGGGACCCTACTACTGCGCTATTGGCGCGAATAAGATCGTGGCGAGAGATTTAATGGAAGCGTTTTACAGGTCAGCTGCACTAAGTTAGAATCAAGTATCTCCAAAAAAATATTTATTTTTATTTTTACACCGTTAGATTCCACATCAAAAGATGCAAATTTCTACATTAAAAAAACGCATATAACAACTTTTAACTTTAAAACTATTAACAAAAAAAGGATTCAAGTATCTTAATTAAAACAAAACAATAAAGCTAAAACCAAGTATTTCACAGAAAATAAAATAAACCAAGTATGTCATACCAGACATACTTTAAAAATGGTAAAATACACTCACATTTCAAAAAATCACTTCAATAGATTCATTATTAGATGAGATAATTTATTTTTTAGAAAAAAAAAACTTCAAACAGACAAGGAACCCTTATAGTTTGGTCATGTCCGTCTGTCCGTCCCCATTGCTTGGAGACTATTTGCACAAGAGCGCTCTAATTTTGTGGAGATATACATTATCGATCAAGTCGACAAAATGGTAGAATAATATTTTTTTAATTTTTTTTATGGTAGTTCCCTACATGTAACCTGGGGATGATTTTTTTTCATCATCTACCACATCGTGTGGGATATCGTTAAATAGGTCCTTTAAAATACTTAGGGCTCTACAGACTACTTTTTGATTTAGGAATCCGTGAAATATTGAACTTTAAAGTCCTAATTTTTGTTCGAGGAGAGCGCCCTCCCCCCCCTCTAAAAGCTAAACTATTGGCTAGAAAAACCTGAAAAAAAATCATGATAATATTGCTTTTCATGAACTTTTAAAGAAAACTATAACGTTATAACTATTAACGGGATTGTTACCATGTACCTTGTTTTTATGAGTCTCCGATATTTCGGCACTGTTGCAAGCGCCATGATCACTTAGTGTGCGCGATGAAAATTAACGCAGGACGAAGGACTCTAGCCGGGGATATCTGTTTTGCAAATTAAGCATGAAAATTATAGCATAAACTAAGCTAAGCTCTAACAAAATTAACTCAAGTACGTAACCACAGAAAAAACGCAGACGTATTTATTATTTATTTAAACTTTATTGCCACACATAAGCAAACGGCGGACTTAATGCCATATGCATTCTCTGACCAGTAACAGTGTTGGAGATAAAACAATAAAACTAAAACGGTTAAGATAGATTTGTTAGTTTAAAATAATAGTCGTTCAACTTTGGTTAAAGACATTTTTTTACCTATAGAAAATTCTCTAGAAGAAACATAAATAGTGACATAGAAGAATTTATTGTAGAGTAAAACCTTGCATTGCAACAAAATCTAAAAAAAAACAATTTAAAACCACAGTAAAATATCATTACTTTCACAACTTTTCCGCGAGTACCAACGGCAACGGCTTCTGAAACGAAAAGATCGGCGTTATACCGCTGGGCGTTTTCCCCGCCCCCCACGACCATGGCTAAGTAGAGCCGAGGTCGCAGTCTCGGAGACGCCAAGAGTAGTCAAGATGCGCCAGAGGGAGAGGAGACTCCCCCCGTGGGGAAATGACCTGGGATACCTCTAGGGGCACTCGCCAATTCTCGGCTCGAGGTCCGCTTAGGATCTCGCCGTTCCCAAACCCGGTGACGATGTGAAAGTCATCTGCGACCGACAGCATACACACTCAAAAAAAACGACGTTATACCGCATCATCCCCTTCTCAAGGGATGATCGCTTCAGATTAAGCTTGTATGGCCCATCTGGCCATAAGCATGAACTACGGGTATTTTTTAGTCAGTAAGAGTCTGATATAACCTTGTAGGGTACAGGAAACAAAAAGTATTAAAAAAATATATATCGAATTAATTTTGAGTTTGAGACGCAGTTTGACTTTGATTTAGGTATTTTAGTTGAGATACATAGATAGCTATTAATTGGTTTTTCTAATTTCCGATTTAGGAAATAAAATACATGCAACTACGGAACCCTACACTGCGCGTGGATCGACACGCACTAGGCCGGTTTTTTTAAATACAAGACACAGCAAATACTCTATCGTATCTATGTTTTCAAGTGTAATTGGAGTCCATTCACAATGAAAGCTGAAGCCGCAGAAACATAGAAGTAAACATAGAAAAAACCTAAAGGGTAAGTCTTGTTTTTTCTGTTGCCAAATGACGTCAGTAAGCCACCTTGGCGATGGGCATGTTCAACTCGTAGGCGTTTTTTGAAAAACTCAAAAAAACCGTAAAAAATTTTTTGAAACGCATTTTTCTTGTTTTGTATGCATTTTAGAAACTTTTTCTGTACCATAATTGTAGAGGGCGTTGAGTACTACAATTTATGTTATTGTTGCAATCTCGTACAACAAAAAATGCGCATTGTAGGTGGCGCTAAAGTCCCAAAAAAGTGTTTTTTCACTTTTTCACCCTGAAAATATCATTTTAATGGAAAACTTTAAATGGCAAAGTTGTTTCGTACATAATTACCAACAACTTTTATATAAACATTTTTTTTGTATTACTTACCGTTTTCAAGTTATAAATTGCGCAGGTATGAAAAATCCAATAGAGCGGTTTTGGGCAGTTCACGTACACATTTGCAGTGCACATTTCAATGTACGTTTTACTATTTTTTATTTTTTTTCATGATTGAAAAAAAAATAGTAAAACCGTACATTGAAATGTGCACTGCAAATGTGTACTTGAACTGCCCAAAACCGCTCTATTGGATTTTTCATACCTGCGCAATTTATAACTTGAAAACGGTAAGTAATACAAAAAAATTGTTTATACAAAAGTTGTTGGTAATTATGTACGAAACAACTTTGCCATTTGAAGTTTTCCATTAAAAAGTGAAAAAACACTTTTTTGAGACTTTAGCGCCACCTACAATGCGCATTTTTTGTTGTACGAGATTGCAACAATGACGTAAATTGTAGTACTCAACGCCCTCTACAATTATGGTCAAAAAAAAGTTTCTAAAATGCATACAAAACAAGAAAAACGCATTTCAAAAAATTTTTTACCGTTTTTATTGAGTTTTTCAAAAAACGCCCACGAGTTGAACATGCCCATCGCCAAGGTGGCTTACTGACGTCATTTGGCAACAGAAAAAACAAGACTTACCCTTTAGGTTTTTTGACGTGACAACGTCTTAAATTAGGTTGCGGCTGGGAGTCACTTATGAAAAAGTGTAACGCTCGGTAACGTTACGATGAGTCTCTCGTGTTAAGTTTAAGTTTACATGTACAATGTATTAGTAAACAAAATATATTTCTATAGTTAAAATTTGTGCAATTCTTATTTTCATTCAATTCCTTGTTCCTATTGTGCAATTTAATTATATTCATATCAATGAATATTCTACCGAGAAAAAGACGTTGTCACGTAAAATCTTCGCCCGTAAAACCGACTTTACAGGCAACCATTTTTTTTTCACCACTCAGCCTACTGTACTGGACTTGACTGTACTAATACGGAAAAACACTAATAAATATATTTTTTTGTCATACTGCATGTTTGTCGCTAGGGTGAAATAGAGGATGAAAGTTTGTTTGTTTGAAGTTGTTAAAAATATCCTGTGTACATCAGCTACAATATTGTCATTATATTAACTTCTATGTCTTAAAGTTACATAGCAGTTATTGGTTTGACAACGAACATATATAAAATTTCGAATACTACGTCCGCTTACTTATATAATATAGATAGAAGATTACAGAAGATTACAGATTACGAAGGACTCTAGATGGGGATATTTTTTTTGCTATTAGGCACAATTTAATAGCATCATTGTAAGCTCTAACAAAATTAACTCAAGTACGTAACCACAGAAAAACGCAGACATATTTATTTAGTTATTATTTATTTAAACTTTATTGCCATACATATGCCATAAGCAAACGGCGGACTTAATGCCATAGGCATTCTCTGACCAGTAACAGTGTTGCAGATAAATAGTACGGCGATATAAAGAAAAAAAGGAACTTAATATACAAGAAACAAAAATGATTCATATATACAAATGCTCCATACACAAACATAAAAATACGTATACTTATATATACAAACACATACATAAAATACAATAAATATAATATATAATGCAGACTATAGAAAGAAAATGATGTAGTCGCGTAGTGTTCACGTACTAGTTTTTTGAACTCCATCTTATTTTGAGTACCTACTACGAATGCTTAGTGGTAGAGCATTCCACAGGCATATAGCAGAAATATTGAAAGATTTGAATTCAAAGCCAGAATGATGAATGGGAATTTGTAGATTTAGGGTTTTGCACAAACGAAGATCACGTCTATTGGTAGTGCCCAGAAATTGAAATACAGAGTTCAGGAATTCTGGTGCACGTGGATTGTATTAAATATAGTAAATTTTACCCGTCAAATTTAAAATACAAGACCTGCAGCTACCTACTTACTACAGATTAATGTTCATAAGCTGCAATATTCTTTGTTTAGGGAAAGGAGAACGTGCAAAAATATATAGAATCCTGCCTAGGAACCAATAACAACATGCGACATATTATTGGAAAGTTTTTTTTATGTACTTTAACTATTATTATGTTATAAGGGAAGTCCCAAGGTGCTGTGTGAAAAAAGCAGACAGAAGCCATACTCCATTCGCAAAAATATGTTTTTATTTTTATGTTAAGAGCCCTTTCACATTTTTTGCAAAAAAAACGTAATTTTTGAGCACCTCGTTCACCCCCTTAGAAAAGTCAAAATGACTTTTTCCAATAGTAGTAAACAGTAGGTTTATTCTTTCTATTGTAAGTTAATTGTAGAATATAAATAAAATACTTTTTTCCTTTTTTTGTACCGATCGTTCTACTGCAGCTAGTTTACGAAAAAAAACGATAATATGCACAACTTCAAACGCCTTAATATCTCAATTATGTTCAATAAATTACATCAAATTACTAACTACGACATCAGATATATATTCTAGTTATAACTTAATGTATTAGAATTTTGATTTTCCATCTCATCAATTATAAAAAAAATCATCTAACCTCCGTGAGTTTTCCCAAAAAATAATGCAGGTTTACTAAAACTAATCTACCATCA